CCAGCTTAATCCAAGAGTTACTGGCCTTGGCTGTAGAAGACATCGCTCGCATTTCCAAGCAAAAAGGAATTCCCCTGCCAGACTGTATAGTCCTGGTAGGGGACAACACGGTCAAGGAAGTCAAGAACCGCTATTGCTTGACAGCGATGGCACAATTAGTAAATCACTTGAGGTTCCGGTGTCTTGTTTGTGCTTCAGCGCAGTGTTGAACTGATTGTCATTTTTGCTAGGATTTTCACCAAAGTTCTGCAAATAGTCTTTATATTGGGCAGCTGAAATGATATGTATCAGGTACGCAGCCTTGATGATGCTACGTGTTTCACACACCCACGACATCGTGGGTCACTTGGCTCTCACCTTTGCCAAGACTTTCTTTTAGCCACACATGCTGATTGATTGAAGAAACTAGATAAGTTTTTGGCAGACTGTTTTTGACAGAGCAACCTGAACTGAGATCAACTGTGGGGTTTGCTTTCACGCAGACTCTCCCAATCCACCAATTTGTTGGATGCGAACAGTGTTTGCAGCCTCCTGGAAGAGGAGTTGCAAAAGACATCAATGCGCACGTGGGTGAATGGGGAGATCAATGTGTCCTGCCTTCGGAACTACCGTGACTGGAAAGGTCATTTCGAGAGGTACTCACCTATAAGCAGCATAGTGCTTGGGCCTTGCTCTCTTAAAGGTGTTTTGGATTTTTTGTTCCACTAAAGGGTTCAGCACCAACGTGCACTGACTAAAGTTCAAAACACAGTTCAAACCGTTTGAGGAAGGCGGATTGCTTGAGGACAAGACGGCCAACCACTTCTTTTTCTTCCTGAAGAGAAGAGGAGACAGTTCCACAATATTTTGTTAATACATGTTAATAAGTACAAAAGTAAAAATAAAAACAACGACGATAACAAAAAGCAACTTCACCAAAAACCCTGTGAGACCTGCCGACCCACCTCCAGCAAAACGAGGGGACTATGTGCCGACGGGAGAAGCGTGACAACGATACGTTCATTATGGTAAAGGAGTACATCTCATCATCAGAGCTCAGGCAGCCCCCACTGCTAGTGCTCCGTGAAGAGGATAAAGCCACATTTGCCTTGACAACTGATAGAAACATGGATTATTTAGCTACTTCACTTTGTTCTTATGTCATTTTTGTTTTTTTCATTTTTTACAACCAATATCCTACAACAACCAATATCAGATTCAAGTTTCCAAAGGAAAAGGACTCGTACAGTCGTCTTTAATGTTGCAAGTTTTCTTCACCATGTTCAGAGTTCAAAAGCAAGGAGTGATGCCCCACAGACCCGTGCCAGACAAAATCAAAGAAGGATGGCTTGCACTGGCAGGGATTTTTGAACACCTCCTGGGAGGCAACCAATCAACAAGGCAGGCAGCCACCTACTTACGAGGACTGGCTACAGACAGTCTTCCGCTGAACCCGATCCACCCTTTGCCATGGATGAGTGAGGAGCCTGAGGCCGAAATTATAATTGCAAGTCCTGAGCCCCACCCAGTGGTGCTAGGGGTTCTTTGCCCATCTGCCCAGTTGCGGGTGGTGTGGCGCCGAAACTTCCGTAGATGAGGGCACATTTCAAGTTGTTGCTATTGTTCAAGCTCCCAAGCATCCAGATCAAAATGATCAGGATTTCTGGTGAGACATGCTCCAGTTTCCAGCCGATCGGAACATGCTCAAAGTTGATCTTTGCAACAAGTTGGAAGGTTTACTATTTGCACACAGGTTTGCCACCAGGTTGGTGTTGCCAGTTGCTTGCCCTTGAGCAGTCTGTCTGAGGCGAGTAGCTTATGAAGGTTGGTGCACAACAAGCAGTTGTGTTCCATGTGGACGTGTGGTATTTTCACACACCAAATGATCATATGGACATAAGGTGCACCTTGTTTCACTGTGTGTGTGTTTTTGAACGTGCAAACTGCAGTTGGCGACAATCCACAAACACAGTACATAGTTGCTAAGCAAATGCACACTGGCAGAAGCAAACAATACCATGATTAACATTCATACCCCGTGCAGAAGTTCTTGACAAGGCTGTCTTTGCCAATCCAACCCTGCACTTGCAAAGTACACATACAAACATGTGGGCCTTGATAAACTCAGATTCCATCCAGTGCAAAATAGAACACACATCCTAAAAAAGTCAAGTAACAAGAAGGTGGAGGAATCAGTCAGAGTGGACAGTTCTGACTTGAGTTTAGCACACATTGGGCATTTATACTTTGTTGATTGTGTATGCACTTTGTTGGTCCCACATACTCTAGCAATCAGCCAATTGCTGACAACTGTTTGTCATGACAAATCTTGACAACAAACAAGCAAGTTGAAAAGCAAACAACAAGCAGCTACCAGGGAAACAAGCACACAAACAAACCTGTCGAGGAAAGCAGTGATTGAGCACGGTGTCAACCAGGCAGAACGTGTTTGTAGAAGCTACCTGAGCAGCTGACACCCCAGCTTCCAAATGTTGCTAAGTTTCAGATGCTCGAACGCCGCTTGATCAGTCAAACAGTTGGTGTTTGGTTTATAAACCAAGGCAAGACCCTAATAATATATATATATCCCACATACATATATGCAAACAACACCAGCTTTGCGTCACCACAACCTGGGAGCGTCAACAGTGACATGACAAACCAACTCCTAATGAGTCAGCTAGTTGCAAAATCAACCTTGAAGGTAACCCAATGCTATGAAGAGTGGTGATCGGATCTAGCGTCTAGTCTCTTGAGCAACTGGGCACAGCACATGACTGCATCACACACACAAAAGCCTTTTCCACAAACAACCTCTTACTAAAACTTTTGGTTATATTTGGACGCCAGCTTGCTATCACAAATCTCTAGTCTTGTCAAGAAACATTAGCAACACCAGACCGTGTTGAAGAGGCTAACCTGAAAGCAGCAATGATGTTGTGTTCAATCATGAACTTTGTTCAATCCTGTTATAGAGACCTCATCAACCCCCCCATTCACACACACACACAACAATGCTGGCTGCAGGAAAGTCATCCTCCAACTTCTTGGCTGGAGCAGCTACTAGCAAGAACTGACTCTTGGAAAAAGTGAACATTCTGCAGATGAGTACGTCAAAATGATGACACCCACGACGACTTTGATGACCCCCTAACGTCAAAAGTTTGTTTGTCGTCTGGGGGCCGAACAACGAAAAGTTGTCATACAGAAAATGCTCGGACGACGATTCCCAGGTTTTCAGAAAACCTCAAAGTCTTTGTCCAACCTAAATCCGTATGACAACTTTTTGTCGTCAGGCACCCAGGCAACGACGACTTTGATGGCCCCTTAACGTCAACAGTTTCCTTGTGGGTGCCATCAAATTGTTGAGTCCGGACGTTGTTGAGCCCCCAGGGGGGGCTCATGAAAAGTCTTTGTGGTCCGGCAGCCGGACAACGATAAGTTTTGTTGAATGCCCACCCCAACCGCGACGATTTTTGTTGATCCTCCACCCCAACCACGACGACTTTTGTTGAGCAGTCCCTGCCCATGATGATTTTGGATGAGTCTCCCTCCCTCGCTTGAGCTTCAACTGCCACCACCTCCAACATAACTTTCCTGGATCAAGGGCTGAGTTTAGCTTTGTGTTTTCCAAGGAAGAAAGGACAGCAATGGGTTTCACGTGAATGAACAAAGGATGACAAACTGAAACAGGTTATGTTCAGCTAGTTATCCCTGTACTTTTTCCTTTCTGACCCCATGGAATCATCCTTGCTTCGTGCTGGAGTGGCTGCAGCAGCAGCTGCACTATCCCTGAAGCCTGGAGAAGAGCCAACACCCAAGAAGGAGGAGTTGAACACGGATATCCCATCAGTGAAAGTCAAGGCAGAGGCGGAAGAATCTCACTTTTGATATGGTTTTTACTTTTATGCATTTTTGTATGTTGTTATCTATTCTGATAGTTATTTAATATGGTAAAATATTTTGTTGGCAATGCTTCCACCTCAGGCCAAACTGGAGCAGGAGGCATCAGCAAAAAAAAGGAAGACCGAGTGGCAAGCAGGATTAGCTAGTCTCCCTGGTGATGTCCAACTCACCAAGGACATAAGGGGCTCCCTTTCTGTTTGTTTGTGCACTGCCTGTCCAAGGTTAAGGGACTTTTACTTTTGGCACGGGTGTGCCATGAAAGGAAATCTTGAACTACCTTTCGATGTTTACTACATCAGACTCGGGAACCACTACACGAACGTGTCATCCTGTGGATCTTGTGCTCCAGCAGTTCAAGACCCCAGAAGTTGCAGCGGTCACCCACGAGAGACTGAAGAACTTTCTTCAAGAGGCATTACAAGTACAGGGCAAGAGGTTTGAGAATGCACCTATCCCAGCAACCAGTCGGATAATTGGTTCATCCTTCTGTTGTTGAACAATGTTGTGAACATGTGTTACATATATATATATATGTGTGTGTGTTTGTGTGTTCTATATGTTTCTTTATAATCAACAGAATGAACTGAGGACATCGGCAGCTTGCAGGATGGAACTGCAACACATCTGAATTGTCGAGTTCCACTAGATGCAGTTCAGATCACAACCCCAAGTGATGGGCTCCCTTGCGTGGGAGACTTCCTGACAACTTGTGTCAGCTTCATATTTTCCGGCAGCCGCCTTCACAGAGAACCCATCGACTTTCACACTCTTCCAGAGTCTGCTGTGGAAGGGCCTGTACGCTTTGGAATAAAGAAAGGATTCACTAGGCTGATGCTCATTTAAACTTTGGCAAATGTTTGTTTTTGGGGTTCACGCAACATTGTTAAACTCTATTTGTCACATGGTTCAACATTTAGCAATTGGCAATCAGGATGTCAAGTAAGGACTTCAGCCCTGCTGGTTCTATTGATTTCCGCAGACATGGATCCAATTGCTGCCAAGGACTGAAGTCAACAGTTTAACAGCAATATACCTCTAAATCGAGATGGCAAGTTTATGGCAGTTCTTTCCCCTTAAAGGACCTGATCCTTCCTCTCATCCCAGTATTTGCTGAGATGTATGCATTGCCTGGTGCACTGAGCCTTGGTGTTGATGCTGAGACCATATCGTTCGAGGCGATCCAGCTCTCAACGCAGGGCAGCGAGCGACAGCGCAAAGACGTTCCTTGTGCACAGCCAGTCTACAACATTTTGAGTTCCAGTCTACTATTTTATCTTTGATGTTTTCTCATTGGTTGATCTTCTAAGATTATGAAAGTGTCGCAGCGGTTCGAGATCCTGATGCAGCAGCGTCGGCTCCAGCCCGATGCTGCCAGCATGACAGATGGAGATTTGTTGCAATCCATTGTGAGCAAGTTCAACAACTTCAAAGCCAACGCGGCTTTGAAAAAGTGGCAAGTGACGCCTGACCAACACTCCGCGATCCTTGGAATAGTATGCGGTATGACACAGGAGTCCAGACAGCTTGTACGAGCACACTTAGACCACAATAAGTGGGAGCAGAGTGGCTTTTTGGCTTCCAACATCAGCAGTTTTCAATTCTTCAGATGTTATTGAAATAGTTGATCAAAACACTATGATTGGAAACAAACCGTATATTCCTCAGGATACAACGAGTCTATCCTGCGGATGAAGCGGCATCAGCTGCACCAGTCACCAAAGGGTGTCACAGGCATTTGGCAAGATATCCTCACGGAAGCTGTTCTGGTTTCAGGTATGTTGTTTTTTTTTGGGGTTCTTACTTTTGTTTATTGTTGGACATTATTTTGAAGTATTTACTCTTCAAGGTTGAACCTGGTTCCCAGGTGACACCAGACTCACAGCTCATCCACTTCCGAAGATACAACCACTGGTGGGCCCTCAACGCCAAGAAAGTCAAAGCCACTATGAGGTCACGGCTGAGGTGGTCAGAAGAAGTTTGGTCCCGAAGTATGGATCACGCATGTATCGCATCATGGGTTGTGCAGGAATGCAGAAAGGAACCAAATGCATCTCTGTGTGACTTCAGTGAAATTGTATATGTTCTGCTTTAGTGACACAAAATGTGTTGGAAAATCGTACTAATCTAAAAACTAGTCCCAGCCTTGGCCACCACATGATACAGGTAACCCAAGACATGGTTGATGCAATGATGAGTGGCTTCATGAACGGGTCCTTTGGAAATCACAGAATTTTTGCTATCTCCTGGTTTAAAAGCTTTGCAAATTTTACCTTATGCATCCTCTTGACTATTGACATCTATTGCCAACTTACCCAGGGACTATTGTCAAGACCTAGATGCTCTCGTGATGGGACGACCAAACAACATCACCGTCCAGATGGTGGGCATGTGGCAAGACCATATTGGCAAATCATTGATGAAAAAAAGCGGCCGGTGAACATGGCAGTGCAGCTGATCAAGAGACAGCAGTCCAAGATGCAGAGGACCGGACTATTCGTAGTTGGTTAAGGGGTCACAGTATGCAAAGAAAATACTACACATGGACTTTGCCAGGAGAACTTGCATGCCGCGGAGTACCAGGTTACCTGTGCTAACTTGGCCCATGACTATCGTGAAGCTGTGGCATTCAACTTGAAGAAGAATAAGGTCACTCAGGGACAACGTTTATCAAATAGTTTCAATATATAATACATACGTTTCAATATGTTTCACTTTTCAACAAGCTGAGTGTGGGAGACTGAACCCTGTTAGGTGGATGGTACAAAACACATCACCAAAGTTCTTCACCTGAAGGGTCAAATCGAAACAGGATTGCGACTGGCAGAGCAGGTGATGGAGCGTCGGTGCTTGCTTGTGTGCACAGATCATGGCAAGACTCAAACCCTGACTACAATGGTGCGCCGGATCATGACCGAGGTCAACAACAAGTTTGGTGAGGCTGACATAACCAGAACTCACCACCTGGGCTATTGCGACTTGTCGAAGATGGGCCGTTTAACGGCATTGAATATCGACCAAGTCTCCAGGTGGGCAAAAGGAGTTCTGGACATGAATCCAGACTTCAGCAACTTTGAGGCATCATGATGTGTATCGTGTGTATGTTTTGCTGGTTCCCTGTTGCCTCAAATCGTTTGCCTCAAACCCAGCATTGTAAGGCATGTGTCTGATCGTGGCCCCAATCTTGGCTGGCGAAGGTGTTCTCAACGGATTGCGCGGCGAGTTCCGGCGGATAGAGGATAAGTTCATGTCGATGGGGATGGAACTCAAGTCGGTCATGGTAATGTTTGACCTCTCCAGCCAACATGGGAACAGGACACCATGCACTTGTCTCATTTTGTTGAGAGCGGGTTAAAGTGTTTGATCCAGTTGGTTATGTGCTGATAGCAAGCAACATACCCTGCAGATCCATGCCGCAGCTTCTTCCGGCTTGGATGGTGGTGCTTGAAACTACCCTTGGCTGCAGACAAGGGACCTTGTACAAGGCACCAAGGAACGCCGACAAAGAGCTCAAGGACTCCAACACATTCGTGCGGAACATGTTTTGGACCACTGGTGTCAACAAGCCTTCCGTCCCGCTGGCTCCGAGCCCACAGTCTGCATTCATACCACGTGATACCTACCTTTTTGCTGTGCTTACTGTGTTTGTAGTAGTCATTCCTTTCTTACCTGTTTCACTTTTGTCCATTCAAAGCTACAGCAAGGCGATTATGTGACACCAGAGAGTGGCACATTTTTTTCCCATGAGACGGGACGAAGTTTGACAGACGCATAGTTGAATTGAACAAAGTTTATTCAGATGTATGTTTTGGTGTGTTTGAAACAGATTGTGTCAAATATATATATATATATATATATGTGATTGTTGTTTGTTCTTGGTCAACTACAAGGACAAAGAAGAAACAGCTCAGTGGGTTGCTGCCCCAGCCACACTGAAGGCGATTTTGGATGGATGCCTTTCCAGAGTTTCGACCCTGAAGGGTCAGGCCCTGATCGTGCATCACCAAAGCCTCTACGATGCCCAGTTCGAGCGTGTGGTCTTGGAGTTGCAAAGCGAGTTGTCGGACAATTGCCATGTGTGCTTGTACGCGGAAACGGAGAACCCAACAATCTTCCAGTACGCGGTGACTCAGGTGAAAGACAAATTGCTTGAGGTGGGAGTTGCACACAACTATTTAAAGCAAAATAGATGTTCACTCACAAAGAAAGTGTTTGTTTTCTTATATGTGGCACAGTTGACCCTGAGCAGGACTGGAAGGCATCAAGGGGGCTGATGGCAGCAATCACCCCAAAGTTCCTGGCAGAGGCAGACCTGTCGGATGTTCCACAGCCTCGTCGACCGACCCTTCGACTACGCTCAATGAATGACAATGGACACCTTCAGATTCCGGAGGCAGAGCGAAAACGATGGCTGGAAGACCCTGTGCGCAGTGATTTGGAAGCGTTGTGCATAATTTTACATGTTTTTCGTAGTAGAACAAATTTGACACAACAAAATCTTAGTGGTTCACCACCATCTAAGATTCAGACTGGCGCACCCGTCTCAAGAACTTCGACTCTGTCTTCGAGGTGGTTTCGAATCCCGAGACGGCTCCAGCCCCATGTCCCAACAACAATGCTGAGAACATGGACTTGGGGGAGACAAGGGATGAGAGCACAACAACAGTTGCTTCTTCTGGTGAAGCCCCTCCCTCAATGACACCCGATGAGTTCAAGCAGAAGTACCCAGAGGTGGGGGCCACGGTTTCCCTGAACCTGGGCGGGCACAATGTGATCTGCCACTACGTTGATGGCAAGGCCTTCCTGACCAGTCCCAGCAAGATCCTTTTGGCAGGATTGGACAGCGCAAACCCACGACCACTCTTCTTATACTCTGGCGGACAATGGATCAGCGATTCCTCGAAGGCTGGCAGTTAAAGGTTTGTCATATCTGGAATACAAATACGCAAGGGCCTTTGTTTTTTTTTGTTGGTGTTTGATACTAGTTTTATTAGTTAGATGATGTATTTTTCTAGTGACAAAACCCTTTTGTTCACAGCTTGCAGGCAAAGGACTTTCTGTCAAAGCCAGCAAACGAGAGCAAGGGGGTGGAATTTCGATTGGAAAGTGCTGATTCTATGGTCTTTTTGGATGTGATTGGCACGTTGTTTGTTCCTGCAAGACATTTTGATAACTGTTGTTTTGATTCAATTTATAGTTTTTATTGTTTTGACATGTTTTGACTTACAGTACTGTAATTTATGTGACCTATGATGTGCACAACCAGGTGGTCCTGGAAGAGCCTGTCCAGGGTGGCAGCCCACAAGACACATCCCCAATGATGCTCCACAAATTGCTGAAGCTGTTGGAACAACGTGGAGTGGTGCAGTTCACGGTCACAGGGCACCAATGTGATCGCCCACCAGAAGTAAAGCGTGGCGAAGCAGCAGACCGCTTCGAGGTCAAGCATGAATCCTTCTCCGTGTACAAACCGAACAATGTGAACTTGAAGCAGGTCAAAGCAGGAAGCCTTGCGGGCTTGATTGGGACAAAGGCCCTATCGAAATCCCGCTGGGTCAAGATGGTTTGGCGTACTTTGGTAAACTTTGGCTCAAGTTTTTGGATGGATATATAGTTGCTGCATTAATTGGTGCATTATTGTTTTTCTTATTCACCTTGCTCTGAGGCATGCGTCACTATGTCCGGGAAAAGGTCCTAGGCCCAGCGAAGCCTTTGTGGTTTGCGGCCCACAGCTGGACTCTTGAGCCAAACCTGGTTTACGAAGTTGTGTAGCTCCAAAGATTTCCAAAAGGGGAACTTTATGTCAGTAGTGGCGTCTTTCAAAGGCTTGAGAACCACTCAAATTTTGCTATGTTGCCAAGCCGGCAGAGCCCAAAGAAGGTGGGCATGCAATGTGATATCGAAAGATCTCTGAGATGAAAGAATTTGCTGTTCAAAGTGCTGTTTTGTGAAATCGCATTTCTGCATATTGTTGTGTATGTACGTTGCCCGTTTTATTATGAGTTTGGTGCTTGCCCCAAAGCTTCTTGCCCGAGTAGTACTTTCTTGTCATTTGTGTTTGTTTGCGGTATGCAGCAGCCGGCAGCCATGGACCTCACTATTGATGCTGACCTTACAGTGAGTGACCAAACCCTCATGCACAAGCATCTTCAAGGTGGCAGCATGGCTATTTCAACAGGTGCTTCTACAGGGCCAACTACCAACGATGTGAAGGCATCGTCCCAGTTGAAGGCATTCTCTGATGAGTTTGTTCAAGACGTGCCTTCTTTCCAGCTGAGTTCAAGTTTGCAGAAGTTCGCCATGCAAGCACATCCTGTTGAGACTCCTCCGGCCATATTCTCAGTCGACTTGTTTTCTTGAACGATTTGCACTTTGTTCAATCCTTGTTTGTGTACGTGTTTGTGTATTTGTTGTTTAATTACCAAACAAGGTCCATATTGCAAGACCCTTGGCAAAGAAGAGTCATCCTCCTGTTGCTCGACAATTGTTCCAGGAACCTGAAGTTGAAGCACAGCTTCCCTATCAGTTCTTTGATCGACATTCGCAGAGTGATATTGAATTTGACAGCCAAGTCCAGTCACCAAGTCAGTTGGTGCCTCCTCCCGGGCCTGAGATTGCTGCGCAGCCTAAAACCTGTTCCAAGAGCCCTACGGTCGAAGGCAAGTTCTTCATTGATCCAATGAAGTTCAGGGAAGCGCAGAAGAAGAAACATCAACAATGGGATGGAGTTTGTGGATTTGCAGATGGGTACATTAGCTCCCCAGATGACATTCCAGATACTTGAAAGTTATGTTATATTGATTTGTGTTTGAAAAAGCATGTAGTCATGTAGGCTGATGGTTCTGACACTTTTTCTCTGTGTGTCTCTGTGTGTGTGTGTTTGCTTCCAATTTCCTGTGAGTCAAAGGAGAGTGGGAAGCCTGCACTACAGCGATTGAAATCAACCAACAATTTGCTTGGTGAAACTCTACTGGGTGCTATAGCAATTTTTAGTGTTTCAAGTTTTAACCACCATGGCAAGTTCCAACGTGGAAACAACATAGCTGATGATCTGATAGTGGGGGTGAAGTGTAAGGAACCTTTGCTGGATGATACCCAACACGATATGAATGATGAGTCACAGTTGCAAGATCAACCAGATGCAAAAAGTGAAGAGGTGCAGCAAGAGGAGCAGACCACACCGGCACCACAGACCTTTGATGAGTCCCAATCTGGTCAGCCTCTTGCACATCCAAAGCGCCATCGTTCATTCTGCCCACCTTCTGGTGAGGAAAAGTTGGTTCAATGTTGGGTAATGTTCTTGAACAATGTGTTTCAACCATATTATCTTAGTTGGATCACCTGTGTTATTTTTCATGTTTCTTACCTGGCCCGAAAGGAGACTCAATCGCCATCCAAGAAGCGCAAACATTTGCGTGTTCATCCCAACATGAGCCCCAAGACGAAGCAAAGCATCAAGGAACAGCAGTTGGAACGCGCGCGTGAGAATTCGAGGGCCTGGCATAGCAAGTATGTCAGCAAGGGAGTGCCATGGTTGAGATTGCAAATTGTTTATTTTCATGAATGTTTTTATAACACTCATTGTGATTTGCTGCATCATTCTATAGCCTCAAGGTACCCAGGGGCTCAGACGGATCAGGATCTTCCAAGGACAAGAAGGACAAGAAGGTTCCGAACGAGAAGAAGGAGACCGAGACGAACCATTCCGCGGCTCACAATGCTCGGTGGGACTTCGTTTCTGGGATTGATTGGATATTGGACAAACCCCACAAGAACCTCCGAAACAAATCCGGGACTCTTTTGTGTCATTCTGATTGTGTGTTTTTTTTTTCAAAGGTTTGGACACTATAGACAGTTGAGGTTCGCGAGTACTTGAAGACCCATCCAGGAGATCTCAAAGGAGCAAACTTGGCATGGCTCCAGAGTTCCGAGCGAGCTGCCTTGATGGCAGGCAAGAAAGGCATCCAGATCTAGATTTCGATTCGAAGGGAATCGAAAATTAGGGGTAAACACGCACGTCAGTGTTGAAGCCTAACTCAGTTGAACCAGAGCGGGGAAAAGTTGGCAGTGCTTTGCAATTTTTTGATGATGCACTTAACCTTTCAGATATGCTGCATTAAACAATGTAAATCCAATCATGGGCAATTTTTGGTGTTTCCCTGCAGCTGTGAACACATCCGTGGCTAGTTGACTGGTGTGCCAAGTGCAAAACATGGAAACCACATCGGACGTGGAGCTGACAAAGGTCAAAATCAAAGAGTTTTTGGGTACCTTTCCGGTGTTTCCAAGAAGTTGTTGCGTTTTCCCCAAATTGTTCCTTTACTCATCCACCCATATTGGTTTGATGGGACGTGTTGGACACGTCATCTGCTCAGGATGTGATTGGCCAGCGGGACTTCTTGTGCCTGAGAACTATGAATACAAGGTTGAAAACAAATATGAGCGCACTGGGTTCCAACCGTTGGATGAGGATCAACCGAACATTGTGGCCTTGTTGAAATGGTTAAAGGAAACCTATATTGACTACACGAGTGACTCCCGAGTGATCCACCAAGAGGAATTGATTTACCTCATCCGTGGGCACAATTTGCAGACTCAAGAGTGGTTGTGCGAATTTCAAGTGTTCAATATCCGTGATCAGCTGGACGAAGTTGTCACTTTTCAGCTGAAAGGGAAAACGGAAGCTTAGGTAGAAACACGTTACTTCGGAACACGTTCTCTTCGGCTCCGAAAAAGACTGTGTGCGTATGGTGCATGTATGTGCTGATCTGCTCAGTTGGATGCCCCCAAAAAAAACAGGGAACATGAAAACACACTAGATAGCATCTACAACAGAACCTCCAAAAACTGTTCTGGTGATCCCCACCCTGAGAGTGTATTGACGGAGTTACAGCGTTATGAAACTTCGAGTTTCCCCACCAGCCAGAGTACAAAACAAGGCCCTCTGACACAGCCACTTTTTTCCACACAACGACCAAGTATATCATATCACTGTCATAAACCCAAGTCTTGATATAGTCAATGACATTTCTGCTTGGGTCTTGGTAGCTGAGCATGTTGATCCTTCCATTGACAGCTGATCAATCTAAATTGACAGCTAGTTAGCACGAAATTAACTTAAACGTTGAACCCTTTGATCTTTCCAGTAGGCACAGTATCTTGGTAGTTCAAACAGTGCTGCGGCTCCGATCCTCAAAACACGAGTCATAACAGTTTCAAAACGTTCCCAAAGGTCCCAGTATAGCGCTCGCTTAAGCTCTATAGATTTAGCTATCGCATCGTTGACTTTGGCGTTGTATCTCGACCATGCTGATCCGCCTGTACAGGGTCCTGCAAACATTACTGCATCCTTCTCCGAGCGTACTGCCGCGAGCGCACGTGCAATTCCGTATGGTGAAGTGAGGTCATCGCTCTGAGATACAGTGACGATGGTGCAATCGTGCTTCGCCGCTAAATGGGTGAAGTGATTACATTCCTCTGAACACAGTAGGATGAATGCGGGTTCTTTACCTATGTCGTACAGATCAATTACCATCTGCTCGTCGCAGGCGGCTAGGTTGTCATCTTCTTCGCACAACACGAACTGGTACCGATATGCAATCTCCCCATCATGTCGTCTCAAGTTGACATCAACTATTCTGTGCTCTTTGCTCTCCTCGCTCTTGGCTTTGCTAACGGAGACGAACGTTGGGACAATGATATCCTTCAATGGGATCGTTTTCATACGCTTTGGGGTGCTACATAACGCTATTGCAGCCGATTGAGCTTCCTCGTTTTCCGATTCAGCGTCGTTTCCCCTAAGGGTGAATACAGTCTTGCCTATCCATCGGAGGTGCGTTTTGGTATGCGTACCTCCACCTGAGTGTCGCCAATAGTCCTTGACACAATCCTCAAAATCTGATGACTCGAACTGACTTCCTTGACGGTAAGTCATCCTATCGTCTTTGATCCGTGACGTGTCGACTGGACAAGATGGCGCGTCACCCGGGCAGAACGCCTTTCTCCTAGGAGACGAGTGTATTCTTGTTAGCGTTTTAGCTTCTTCGTCTACCTCCCAATGATCGTGAACTGAGTGCTCTTGCTCTTCAGGATCCGAAACAAAATTGTCGAAAATCATCGAAGACCCCCCAGACCCCCCATTCCCCCCATGCACAAGGCGTGTCAGGGCGTTGAGCACATGTAAGGCAGAGGTCGAGCAGTGATGAATCGACAAGTACAAGGACGAATCACGGAGAGTCTGTTGCAACTCGCGACATTGGACAAGCGGACGCAAGCTAAACAAAAGACGTGGAAGGATCGCAGCATTGAAATGACCAGACGCAGGAGCGGACGCTTCGGGTAACGGAGAAGACAAAGGATGAAACTGAAAGAACGCACGTTCTACCCAGCGGTCAAACCGAACGGGTTCTAAGTTAGGGTCAACCTTATCCTCGATCTGTTGCCATTGCGCGTCCTGCAAGATCCAAGTGCTGCGAAGGTATGCCATATCAGGGGGAGCCCGTGGTGGACGCAGCCTGTACAGCTTGGGAGTACGAACCATAACGTAGGGGTCGCATCCAGGGATCTCTTGCAGTCCCTCTTTGCTCGAAAGTCCCGGCTGATACAGTTGTGGCGGGACAACCGGAATGGTGGTGTAAGGGTATGTTGGCACCTTACTGTGACGGTCTTTCTGGAGCTGCTTGGCGTAAGACAACCCATCATGAGTTGGCTTCATCAAGTCGAGCAATGCTTGGCTGCGCAGACCATCGTCGCTCAGTATATTGATCAGCATGCACGCATGTTTCCATGAGTTGGCATCATCGAACCCTTTAGTGTGGATATCGGCAGCCATACGAGCAGTAACCTCATATACGAGCAACAGATAGTCACGCTTGAACATCTCATACAACCAAGTGATGGAAATACCATGAGTGCGCTCCATGTGACGCATCGTGGGATTCCTCCCACTCCTCATAACATTGATCATCGCTTGATTATCGTCATAAAAGACTATTCTTGGTGGCGTCCTCATCAAAGTCTCCCATGCACTGATGCTTGGGATCCCAAGTGTCCTCAATGCGTAATCCGCCGCTACAATCTCAGCCTCCGGGGTGGAGTGGCTAACGCACCCTTGACGTTTGCTACCTCCTGCCAACGGGAAACGAGTTCGTTTGCCTTGGACATGCATGTGTGCACCGGAAGTCGACTTCAACGATTGACCACATCCTGCGTAGTCCGCATCTGCGAATAGGGCTAACGACAGGTCTGCTTTGGAATCACCGACCCAACCTACCATTTTCTGATCGGCTGAATGATGCACGTAACACATCAGGTGGTGCAATTTAGCATCGTCGGCAACTGTCCATTTTGTCACATTACGAGCCAGCACATTGATGGCCCTTAACAGGTCGAAACGCGCTATTCTAGCAGCGTACAACAGTTTCATTAGGAGACTAGCAGCATGAGGCGCTAGGGTACCACGAGGTTGCTCCTTCGCATCAGACTTGACGTCATCGTCTGTTGACCTGGCATTGGAAGCTGCCTGGTCAGGCGAGAAACAAGTACCACACCATGTGCATGTGACAGCAAGTCCCTTTTGGGTACTGCATGGTGCTCTCGATGGATGATCCTTTGTGACATCC